AAGTCCCACATGGGGGGGTAAAGCGCTCCCTAACAAAGGCGACTCCATACCCAGGGCTCGAACTCTAGACATCTAGTTAATGATGAAGAAGTACTTACCACTCCACCACAACCCTGCTTTGTTGCTTGTATATTTCTACATTGATTGCTAGTTATATTTAATTTGGATAAGTATAAAATTTATTGATTTAATAATCTAATATTGTTTTAATAACTTAATAATTATCATAAATCTAACTTAACACAAAAATTTAAGAAGCTAATATTATTGAAATATGAACGTATAACAAAACTAACAATATTATATAGGATGAAAAAAGCTATAAAGTAAAATAAATTTTGGAATATCTTTATTTCATACAAATAGTTGATTTTTTTATTTTAATTAAATGTATTATATTTATTTATTTTTGGTTTACTATAGGTATATTTCTTACTTTTATTTGCATTAATGGCATTTGTATTTTTTCTTGTGTGTTGTACCTATGGCACTTGTATTAGAAGTAAACTAACACAACTTATATAAGAAGTACGACAAGTAAATCTAAAACCTAAACCTAAACTTCCTCCCTCAGCCGCCACTCTCCCTTCCCATTTTCTTACGTCTTTCTTCCATAGTCGGCGTTAACTTAAGGCTGCGAGAAAGACAAAGAAGAACAAGATGGTATGTTTACTGCTTCTCTATTTGACAGAAATTTAATTTGTTGGTTTGTCTCTTTTTAAGTAAGTTCATGTCTCTATATTGTAGGGTTTTTGAATCTCTTCACATTTACTTGGTTTGGATTTTTAACTTCAATTTACGAGTTATTCCAGCAATTTGATCGATATTATGCCTTATATTTTATAAGTAATGAGTGCGATTTTGAAGATTTGGTAGGTTTTGTGCCTTACATAACTTGAGTTTCTGCTTCGTTTTTTATTTACAGAATACTCAAGAAAAATGTGCCTTTGAGAAATTTCAATCCCTTCTAATGCAAAATTGTAAGTTTTACTTCTTTTTTTCATCTCCTCAAATTTATGATGTTTATTTAAATGCTTTCTCATTTGTCTTCTGTGTTGGAAAAAACTTTATATCTTTTTTCACCTGATTCATTGCTAAGTTTTTTTTTTCTTATTCCATGATTCAATGAATATTTTTAATTACTAACTGCAATTGCATCTTTATATGTTTTGATAATTTAAATATAAGTTTCTCACAAGATCATGTTATTTCAATATTTCTGTCACGACCCGGATTTTCCACCATCGGGAGCCGTGATGGCGCCTACTATCGGAGCTAGGCAAGCCAAACATTTAAAATATTTTTTTACTGATTTCATTCAAACAATACAATAAACGAGAACAATAAATAAGCGGAAGATTTTAGATTAATACAACTGAAAACCAAAAATGCGGAAGTTTGAAACATAGTTCTACCCAGAGTCTGGTGTCGCTAGCTCACGGACTACTATAGAATGCTAAAAACAAGTCTGAAAGGAAATACATAGTGTTTGTTCGATACAAGGTAAACAAACTAAAACATAGAAGGGACTTCGGCCTGCGAACGCCCGCTAGGCTACCTCGTCAGTCCCTGGACTGAAGATAGCTCCCGGAAATCCTACTGCTGCGGTCCAAAAGCTGCTCCCTGATCTGTGCACAAAAATGCACAGAGTGTAGCATCAGCACAACCGACCCCATGTGCTGGTAAGTGCTTGGCCTAACCCCGACGAAGTAGTGACGAGGCTAGACAGGACCTACCAAAAACAACATGTGCAGATATATATACATATACAGGAGCAACAGAAATAATAACAGAAGATATCAAGTAAAGCTGGGAAGGGGGCATGCTCGGGGATAACAAATGAAGACGAATTATTAGAAATAACAGCAGAAGTACTCCGGGATTCCATGATATATATATATAGTGGACGGCGTGCCACACGATCCCATATTATAATACATAAGTGGTCGGCGTGCCACACGATCTCATTTCATAACATATATAGTGGTCGGTGTGCCACACGATCCCATATTATAGTATATAAGTGGACGGCGTGCCACACGATCCCATTTCATAACATATATGGTGGTCGGCGTGCCACACGATCCCATATTATAGTATATAAGTGGACGGCGTGCCACACGATCCCATATTATAGTATATAAGTGGACGGCGTGCCACACGATCACATACTATAGTTCAAAATATCTGACTTTGTAAAGAAGGCCCCATTAGGGAAATTCGACAACATAACACTTTAACCCGGCAAGGGTACAGCTAACAGCCCAAATACCCTGGCTAGGGAGAGTACATAATAATAGTCTACACGTCCCGGCAAGAGAATAATCACAACACATCCTCTTTTAAATCACTTCTTTCTCCACTATCACATTCTTGTTCGAGCCAACGCTCCAAAATATACCAATCACAATTCTTCCTCAACCGTTCACATTATATGAAATTTATCGAGTAAACAGGGAAATTGTGTCACATCATTCGAATTACAAGCAATTAAGACTCACGGTCATGTTAGACTCCGGTGCATAGACAACCGTCACCATGCCTATACACCATACTCCATATTTAGCAAGTAGCAAATAACATCCTAATCCTATTCCCTCAAGCCAAAGTTAGAACAAACACTTACCTCGGTCCAAAGAATAGCAATCAACCCTCAAATACCGCCTTTCCTCTACAATCCGACTCCGAAATAATGGTATCTAGTCATAATTAGTTCAATAATATCAATAAGGGCTCAAAAACATAATCTCATAGCCTAGAAATGAAATTCCCATCATTCTTCCAAAAATACCAAAATTCGACACCTGTCCCACATGGTCCAAACACGAGGCTCCGACCAAAACCCAATCACCCATAACCCCACGAGTTCAAATATACAATTTATTTCAAGATTCGACCCCAAATTGAGGTTGAATCACCCAAAATCCCCAAAACCCTAGCTCTACCCAAAACCCTTAATTTCTACTTTGATTTCATAATTTAGGTCTAGGAATTCAGTAATTAATGAAGAAGAGTGAAGGAATTAGGTGGGAAATTACTTACCCAAAGACTTTGGTGAAGAAGAGCTTCAAAAATCGCCCCTAGAGCTTGGAGAAGACAAGTTTTATGAAGAAATGGGAAAAATCCCGTAATGGGTCTGTTTTGAGCTTTTAAAATTAACTGGGCAAAAATGCCCTTCACGTTCGCGGGAAAGGAGCCGTGTTCGCGAAGGGTTAATTCAACAGACCGTCGTGTTCGCGATGAGGAGGCTGCGAACGCGAAGAGAAAGACTGGGGGGTCCAGGGAAATTAACTACGCGAACGCGTGAATTAGTTCGCGAACGCGAAGAAGGTGGAACTAAAGCTACGCGAACGCGGGAATAGGTTCGCGAACGCGAAGAAGGGGACCCGGCCAGCATCGCGATCGTGTAAGGGCGACCGTGAACGCGAAGAACAAACCTGGCCTGCAACAGCTGAAGGAAAACCTGCTATATTTCTAAGTGTAAAATCACCCCGAACCACCTCCAATTCACTCCCGAGCCCTCGGGGCTCCTAACCAATCACACACACTAACTCAATAACATCCTACGAACTTACTCGAGCGATCAAATCGCCAAAATAACATCAAAATCCATGAATCAAGCCTCAAAATCATCATTTTCATTTCAAACTTCTTAAACTTCTAACTTTAGATATTTAGGTCCGAAACACGTCAAATGACATCCGATTTCGACCAAACTTTACAGAAAGCGCTTAACACCTATTTAAGACTTGTACCGGGCGTCGAAACCAAAATACGAGCCCGATACCATGGTCTTTTAATCAATTTTTATTTCCATTTTCCTTAAGAATTTCAGAAAAACAATTTCACAGAAAAATTCATTTCTCGGGCTCTCGACCTCGAAATTCGACTCCGGGCATATGCCCGAGTCTCATATTTTTCTACGGACCCTCCGAGATCGCCAAATCACGGGTCTGGGACCGTTTACCAAAAATGTTGACCAAAGTCAACTTTAGCAATATTAATATCAAAATTCTTCAAATTTTTCACAAAGTTCACATATTTCAACATAAAAGCTTTCCGGCTTCGCGCCCGGACTGCACACGCAAATCGAGGCAACTAAAAGCGAGGTTTTCAAGGCCTCGGAAGCACGGAAATAGGAAGAAGTCCGGTGATGACCCCTTTGGGTCGTCACAATTTCAGTCTAGTGAGAGCGCTTCATATATTCTTAGATGCATGAAGATCAATGGGGTGCGATGAAGGTGGCGACATGAATCATCAAGCAAATACTTATGTTCATTGCAAAATTTTGTACATTATTTCTCATCTATGTTATAATCAAGCCTCACATTGGCTAGTTTTTCCTTCAATTTTTTATTATTGTACAAGACTTATGTATTGCAGATGCTATTAATTGATTAGTACAAATGTGTATTTTGAAATTTATTTGGTGAAACTTTTTAAATGTTAGTTAGTGCAGAATAATTTATTTCTCATGCTTAATATGTTATTAGTTTTAATATAATATGCACGATCATAAAATAATTACAAAATTTTAGACAAAATCAAATAGCTAAGAAACAGGGGATTTGTGAGAGAAAATTTAGTCACCATAATAAATTATTTTATTTGTCAAAAAATTAAAATGTAATAAAAATAATATAGTAGCCATGGAACTTTTAGGTCGTAGCTAAAAAAAATGCTTCCGCCACAGACTAATATACGAAAGTAGTTACTTATCTAAATTTTTGTGGCAAATAAATTTAGATCTTTTGCCACACTACAATACTTTGTGGCTATCATATGAAGATAGCCACAGAGTTATTTATCGTGGCAAGAGTATAAAATCTTTTGCTATAAATGTATTAGTCATGGCAAAAGTATAAAATTATATTTCTATAAATATAGCTACAACACAAAATTTCGTAGTAATAAGTATTAATCCTTAGCCACGGACCATGTAAAGTCTGTAGCAAACTATTAGCTACGCTACATTTTGCTACGAATGCTACGGAAAAAAATATTGTGGCTAAAGTGTTTAGCCACGGACATTTTCATAATTAGCTACGTTTTATTTTGTGGCTATAAATACATTATGGTGTAGTGAGCACTAATAAGCAATGCAGTACTATGTATTTATGTGCTAGTGGTACACCTATTTGTCCGTATTTTCTTGGAAAGAACTTGGAACGAATGAACAAATAAATGATTTTGGACCAGTTGTTTAAAACATTATTAAGCACTATACTTTATAAATTATAATGCATTCCTTGTTTAGCATTATAGTCTCTGTCACATCCATTTCTCAACTTTTCACTCATTGATTATAGGCCTACTAATTCTTGACAATATCTTTTTTCTTTTTGGTATTCCAGATTGACACAACTACTTGGCATTTATACATCAATTGCAGCTCTTTTAATTCATTTCTTTTGTTTTCATCTAGTTCTCCCATTTTCCTTTTAGGTTTCCTCGATAATATTAACCGAATCGTATTGATAGTAAAGAGAAATCGAGATGATTGGAACAGTATCGACAATTTTAACTTTAATTATATAAATAAAACAACCAAAAAAATAATATAGTATAAATTTCATAAAATAATGGACCGAACCAAACTATTGACACCCCTGCTATTAAGCAGAATTTGCGTCTTAACTACTTGTGGAAATAAGCAATAAAGAGAAGAGGCTATGCACATTAAATTAAAAAGGAAAAAGATAAAACAAAAGAAGAGCCCCCACAGGGTTAGCTCACACTCTTAATACTTTATTACATTATTGAAGATGTCCCTCTCGATGATCTCTTCCTTTTCTTTTCTTTTTTTCAAATAAAAGAAAAAAAAATTCCAAAGAGGTTGGAACATTATATTATAGAGAAATTTTTATTTAAAATAAATAGGGTATCAACCTTTGCTATAGGAGGTAAAAATTCCTTAGTATAAAATGCCCGTCTTATCCAACTATAATGTGAGCAGTTTCGAGCACTTATTTGGGCCCAAAGCTTACAAACAAAACGTACTTTCATTTGCAAAGATTAGTTAACAACACTTATTCATTAATGTTGAGACTAGTGATGATTGTGGTGGTTAGACTTCATTAGTTAGTTAGATTAGCTGTAACTAACTTACTTAGAGTTGAGTTAGTGTAACTCAAGTTAGCTTAGTTTTAACTCTAGTCAAACATTAGAGTTGGTTAATGTGACAAGCTGACCCGTCGTCACGTGAGTTACCGCTTCGTTTCCCCCATTTTCAGCTTCTTTATGCTTCATTATCCGTATCTTATGTGATCGAGTTGGTTCGGAGAGGTTTTGGTAGGTAATTAGATACTTAGTCTCTTTAGGGAAGGTTTGGTTTGGAAAAGTCAACCGGATGTTCACTTATGAGTTAGAGGGCTCGGATGTGATTTCCAGTGATTTGGTTAGCTTCGGGGGATCATTTGTGACTTAGGAGCGTGATCGGAAGTGATTTTGGAGGTCCAGTGTAGAATTAGGCTTGAATTGGCGAAGTTAGTATTTTGGCGAGTTCCGGTTGATAGGTGAGATTTTGATCCGAGGGTCGGAATGGAATTCCGAGAGTTGTTGTAGCTTCGTTAGGTGATTTGGGATGTGTGTACAAAATTTCAGGTCATTCGGAGGTGTTTTGGTTGGGTTTTGGATCAAATGCGAGTTTCGGAAGTTTTAGAAGAACTTAGGCTTGAATCCGATGTAATTTGATATTTTTGGTGTTGTTTGAGGTGTTTTGATGATTGGAGCAAGTTTCAATGATGTTTTAGGATGGGTTGGCACTTTTGGTTGAGGTCCCGGGGGCCTCGGGGTTATTTCGGATGGCTATCGGATGAATTTTGGACTTGTGATATTGCAGAAATTGCTTGTTCTGGTATTTCCGCATCTGCAGAATTGGGACCGCAGATGCGGCAAAGGCGTCGCAGAAGCGGATGTTGGTCATAGAGGAATTTCCATAGAAGCGGATAGTTGTCCGCAGAAGTGGAGTCCGCAGGTGCGGATTTTGACCGCAGAAGCGGTCCTGGGCATTAAGTGAAGCTCCACAGAAGCGGAAAGCTCACCGCAGATGCGGTAATGTGCTGGGCAGAAGGGTTTTAAAATTCCATTTTTGTTCCGCGAGCTAAGTTATTTTTCCTCCATTTTTGAGCATCCTTGAGAGCTTTTGGACGGGAATTGAAGAGTGTTTCGACTGGGATTGATTGGAGGTGAGTTCCATGGTCTAAAAACATGATTTAATTGTAGAATCAACATAGAAATTCATGAAAATTTATCAAAAAGGAGAAAAAACTAGGGCTTGAGTTTTGATATTTCAAATTGGATTTTGATGGGACATTTGAGCTCGGATTTGGGAGTTTTTGATATGTATAGACTCGCGGCGAGATAAGGAATCCGTTGATGTATAATTTTCTGAATCTCGAGAAGTGGGCCCGGGGCTCGGGTTTTGCCAATTTTGAGATTTTTGCTATTTTTCGATTCTTTTCGATTGGGTTATGTTCCCTTAGCATATTGTGACGTATTCGTTGTGGTTTTGGTCAGATTCGACGCGTGAGGAGGCCGATTTGAGACACAAGGGCATAGCGAACTAGAGATTTGACCGGCTTGAGGTGAATAATGATAGTAAATGATGTCCTGAGGGTTTAAAATCCCGGATTTGCACAACGTAGTGCTATATTGAGGTGAAACACGCGCTTAATGACGAGCGCGGGGTTGTCTACTACTGGGGATTGTGACTTGGTCCCTCCCGATCGATATTTTTACCGCGTATTTGACTGAAATGTGTTTGTTATCAACATGATTTGGGCCTATTGCCATATTTTGGGCTTCATGCCGACTTCTTGAATCCTTCGTGGACTTGTATCACCGTTTTCTCACTATTTTGATATATTACTTAAACTCAGTCCTGTTGATTAATACTGTTTTACAAACTCAGCAACTTTTAATTTGAATTCTGAGATTTTAAATGATATTTCCAATGTTGTTTGGGCTGAGCACTACTGTTTTACTGATGCCCAAGGGGCTTGTGATGATATCTGGACTGAGTGAGGCCGAGGGCCATATGTGAGGATATGCTGAGTGATATGAGATGCTTTATATGCCACGAGGTGGCTTGAGTGATGGGAGGCCGAGTGATGTGAGGCCGAGTGCCGAGTGATGATGCCACGAGGTGGCTTGATATAGCGGTTGGGCCGTAAGGGGCCCCTCCGGAGTCTGCACACCCACAGTGAGCGCGGGTACCCATATGATCTGAGAGTGAGCCCGAGGGGCTGATACTATGCTGAGTGACTGAGAGTGAGCCCGAGGGGCTGATACTATACTGAGTGATTGATACTGAGCCCGAGAGGCTGATACTATGCTGAGTGATTGATACTAAGCCCGAGGGGCTGATACTGTTCTGAGCGATTGATACTGGGCCCGAGGGGCAGATTACTACTCACTATTTACTTGTTGTTTTACCTGATTTACCTATTTTTAAAAGGAGATTTCATTTGATTCTTTACGGTTTTACTGCTTTAAGTGATTTACTGCCTGATATAGAATTGCCTAGTGCATTTATGTGTTTTCATGCTTTCAGCCATTATTTATTGTTATTACTCATTGGGTCGGAGTACTCACATTACTCCCTGCACCATGTGTGCAGATTCAGGCATAGCAGAGTCCGCACCTGAGCGCTGATTCCTTCCAGACCAGGCAACGATTTGGAGTTACGAGGTAGCTGTTGACGTCCGCAGCCCCTTGTCTCCGCTATCCTCTATCGTTTATGTTTTCTTCGGACTATTGTATCGGATTTCATACTCTATAGACTCATAGCAAACTCTGTTGTAGCTCATGACTTGTGACATCCCGGTTTGGGCTGTGTCGGGATGGTTTCCCTGGTTATTATTGTTGTTTCCGCATTTATGGCTATCCTAAACATGTTTTAGATTTGTTAGCGTTAATTTAATTGTTTAAAAAGAGGTATCTGCATTGTTCTGGCTGGCCTTGTCTTTACGAGAGGCGCCATCACGGCCGGGTTCGGGAATTGGGTCGTGACAAGTTGGTATCAGAGCCTAGGTTACTAGGTCTCCCGAGTCATGAGCTAGTTTAGTAGAGTCTCGTGGATCGGTACGGAGACGTCTGTACTTATCCTCGGTAGGCTGCAGAACCTTTAGGAAAACTTCACATTCTTGAAATTCTTGTCGTGCGGCTTTGTCGAACTGAGAACTAAACTTCTATTATTCTATTCTCTCACAGATGGTGAGGACACGAGCTACCGGACGTGGCGGACGACCACCGGTACCACCCATTGAGGCCACTAGAGGTCGTGGACGCGGTCGTGGTCGTGGTAGAGGCAGGGCAGCAGGGGCAGCGCCTGTTGATCCACCAGTTGCCCCAGCTCAGGATCAGGCTTCAGCAGCACCAGTTCAGGCACCGGCTGTGCCCATCGTGATTCCGGGTCTTCAAGAGGCCTTGGCTCAGATTTTAACAGTTTGCACCGGCCTGGCTCAGGCAGTTTCAGCCACCACAGCAGTAGCTACTTCGCAGGCTGGGGGAGGCAATCAGACCCCCGCTGCTCGCACACCTGAGCATGTAGTGCAGGGAATATTGACTCTAGAGGCACCGCCAACTCAGCCAGATGCACCAGTGCAGGAGTTCAGGGTTCCAGCTATGCCTGAGGATGAGTAGGGTCGCCTTGAGAGGTTTGGTAGACTCCAGCCTCCAACATTCAGTAGTGCTGAGGGCGAGGATGCCCAGGGTTTTCTCGACAAGTGTCAGCGGATGCTCCGTACAGCAGGGATTCTTGAGTCTAGTGGTGTGGCATTCACCACCTTTTAGTTTACTGGGGCTTCCTTCACTTGGTGGGAGGCGTATGAGAGGCGTAGGCCGACTGGTGCAGCGCCTTTGACTTGGCAGGAGTTCTCCACTCTCTTCTTGGAGAAGTATGTACCGCAGTCCCGCAGAGAGGAGCTGCGCAGGCAGTTTGAATGGCTACGGCAGGGAGATATGACTGTGTCTCAGTATGAGATGAGGTTTTCAGAGCTGGCTCGTCATGTCGTTTGGATGGTTCCGACTGATCGCGAGCGTATCAGGAGATTTGTTGATGGCCTTAACTACCATCTCTGTGTTCTTATGACTAGAGAGAGAGTACTGGGTGCTACATTCGAGGAGGTGGTTGATATAGCTCGAGAGATTGAGGCGGTTCGCCGTCAGGATCGAGAGGAGAGGATGGCCAAGAGGCCTCGAGGTTCTGGCAGTTACAGTGGCGCTCCTTCGAGGGGCCAGTTCCAGCATGGTAGGGGTCGTTCTTTCAGACCCGCTCAGTCAGCCCGTCCCGAGTATCGTGGGGCATCTTCAGGTGGTGGTTATCATGGTTCTCAGCAGGGCCAGCCTTCACTCAGCGCTCTTCCAGCACAGAGTTCATCTCGTGCCCCGTCTGTTCCAGGCCGAGTGCGTCAGCTAGTCACTCCGGCGCGGGGGGTTCCCTTCAGTCCCATTCTCCAGCACCTCGGAGTTGTTTTGAGTACAGAGAGTTTGGACATATGTGGAGGCAGTGTCCTCGTCGTGCTGCTAGCTCATCTCAGCGGAGGGGTCAGCCCTCGTCTTCTGGTCCAGTTTCTTTAGCACCCGCCCAGCCAGCTAAGAGTGAGGGTCAGGCAGCCAGGGGTCGCCCCAGAGGTGGAGGTCGATCAGGCGGTGGTCAGGCTCGTTTTTATGCTCTTCCAGGCAGGTCAGATGCCATTGCTTCAGATGCTGTCATTACAGGTATTGTTTCAGTCTGCCACAGAGATGCCTCGGTCTTATTTGATCCCGGTTCCACCTATTCTTCTGTGTCCTCATATTTTGCTCATCATTTGGGTACGTCCCGAGGGTGTCTTGCTTTACCTGTTCATGTATCTACCCCGGTGGGCGATACTATTATTGTAGACCATGTGTTCCGGTCGTGTTTGGTGACTATTGGGGGTCTGGAGACCCGAGTCGATCTATTATTATTGAGCATGGTAGACTTTGATGTTATTTTGGGCATGGAATGGTTATCTCCGTGTCATGCTATTCTAGACTGTCATGCTAAGACAGTCACTTTGGCTATACCGGGTGTACCGAGGATCGAGTGGCGTGGTGTGACTGATTATGTTCCTAGTAGAGTGATTTCATTCTTAAAGGCCCAGCGTATGGTTGGGAAAGGTTGTCTTTCATATTTGGCTTTTGTGAGGGATGTTGGAGCTGATCCTAGCATTGATTGTGTTCCAGTTGTGAGGGAGTTTCCCGATGTATTTCCTGCAGACCTGCCGGGCATGCCACCGGACAGGGATATTGATTTTGGTATTGACCTGGTGCCGGGCACTCAGCCCATTTCCATTCTGCCATATCGTATGGCACCAGCGGAGTTGAAAGAATTGAAGGATCAGCTTCAGGAACTCCTAGATAAGGGGTTCATTCGGCCTAGTGTGTCACCGTGGGGTGCACCGGTTCTGTTTGTGAAGAAGAAGGATGGCACCATGAGAATGTGCATTGACTACAGGCAATTGAACAAAGTAACAGTGAAGAACAAGTATCCCCTGCCTCGCATTGATGATTTATTTGACCAGCTTCAGGGAGCGAGGGTGTTCTCCAAGATTGATCTCCGTTCGGGCTATCACCAGTTGAAGATCAGGGATTCAGATATTATTAAGACTGCTTTCAGGACTAGATATGGGCACTATGAGTTTCTTCTTATGTCTTTTGGGCTGACCAATGCCCCAGCAGCGTTCATGCATTTGATGAACAGCGTATTTCGGCCTTATCTGGATTCGTTCGTTATTGTTTTCATTGATGATATTCCGGTGTACTCGCGTAGTCAGGAGGAGCACGCGCAGCATTTGCGAGTTGTATTGCAAAGACTGAGGGAGGAGAAGCTTTATGCAAAGTTCTCCAAGTGTGAGTTCTGGCTCAGTTCAGTAGCTTTCTTGGGACACGTGGTGTCCAGCGAGGGTATTCAGGTCGATCCGAAGAAGATAGAGGCGGTTCAGAGTTGGCCTAGACCGTCCTCAGCCACAGAGATTCGTAGCTTCCTTGGTTTGGCGGGTTATTATCGCCGGTTTGTTCAGGGATTTTCCTCTATAGCATCGCCCTTGACCAAGTTGACTCAGAAGGGTGCTCCATTTTTATGGTCGGATGAGTGCGAGGAGAGCTTTCAGAAGCTCAAGACAGCTTTGACCACAGCTCCAGTATTGGTTTTGCCGTCAGCTTCATGTTCATATACGGTATATTGCGATGCTTCTAGAGTTGGGATTGGTTGTGTATTGATGCAGGAGGGTAGAGTTATTGCTTATGCTTCTCGTCAGTTGAAGCCCTACGAGAAGAACTACCCTGTTCATGATTTGGAGTTGGCTGCCATAGTTCATGCATTGAAGATTTGGAGGCATTACTTGTATGGCGTATCTTGTGAGGTATTCACTGATCATCGCAGTCTTCAGCATTTGTTCAAGCAAAAGGATCTTAATTTGAGGCAGCGTAGATGGCTAGAGTTACTTAAGGATTATGATATTACCATTTTGTATCACTCGGGAAAGGCCAATTTAGTGGCCGATGCTTTGAGCCGAAAGGCAGTGAGTATGGGGAGTTTGGCATACATTCCAGTTGGGGAGAGGCCCTTTGCAGTTGATGTTCAGGCCTTGGCCAATTGGTTAGTGAGACTAGATATTTCGGAGCCTAGTCGGGTGTTGACTTGTGTGGTTTCTCGGTCTTCCTTATATGATCGCATCAGAGAGCGCCAGTATGATGATCCGCATTTGCTTGTCCTTAAGGACAGGGTTCAGCATGATGATGCCAGAGACGTGACCATCGGTGATGATGGCGTGTTGAGGATGCAGGGCCGGATTTGCATGCCCAATGTGGATGGGCTTCGGGAGTTGATATTGGAGGAGGCCCATAGCTCGCGATATTCCATTCATCCGGGTGCCGCGAAGATGTATCAGGATTTGAAGCAGCACTATTGGTGAAGAAGAATGAAGAAAGACATTGTAGGATTGTGGCTCGGTGTCTCAACTGTCAGCAGGTGAAATATGAGCATCAGAGACCGGGTAGCGTACTTCAGCGGATGATTATTCCAGAGTGGAAGTGGGAGAGAGTCACTATGGATTTTTTGAGTGGTCTTCCTCGGACTTTGAAGAAGTTCGATTCGATATGGGTGATTGTGGATCAGCTGACCAAGTCCACGCACTTCATTCTGGTATGTACTACCTATTCTTCGGAGCGGCTGGCAGTGATCTCTATCCGAGAGATTGTTCGATTGCATGGTGTTCCAGTGTCTATTATCTCAGATAGAGGTACTCAGTTTACTTCTCAGTTCTGGAGGACTTTTCAGCGAGACTTGGGTACACAGGTGGAGTTGAGCACAGCATTTCATCCTCAGATGGACGGGCAGTCCGAGCGTACGATTCAGATATTGGAGGACATGTTGCGTTCCTATGTTATTGATTTTTGAGGTTCTTGGGATGAGTTTTTGCCGCTTGCAGAGTTTGCCTACAACAACAGCTATCAGTCAAGCATTCAGATGGCTCCGTATGAGGCATTGTATGGGAGGCGATGTAGATCTCCAGTTGGTTGGTTCGAGCCCGGCGAGGCTAGGCTATTGAGGACAGAGTTGGTTCAGGATGCTTTAGAGAAGGTGAAGCTGATTCAGGAGAGGCTTCGTACAGCACAGTCGCG